AAAAGAACAAACCAAAACTAATTAATATGACATCGAAAGAAATTTGGCAATAAACCATGTGTCTGTGATAGATATTATCTTTTGGAAAAATCAAGTCATCTATGGCACATGGGCACATCCATTTGGAGAATGCAGTTTAAAAAGTTGGTTATTGATTAGGGAACAGATACCAAGCTCAACACTTTCAATTGTCGGAAGATGTTAAACATTATCAGGATGCATCAAATGACAGACACATTGATGCTATTGTATTTTATAGACTGCCTTAGACACAAAACTAATAAATGCTTACTTGCCACCCTATATCAATGTTGGTTATTGCAAATGAAAAAATAGGAACTGTGGTTACCTTGATATGACTTACAAGTCTGTACATGACACTTTAACAATTAAAATATTATCTCAGTCAAGAAAGAATTGTTGATGGGAGCAATATTAATGGGTCATGCCAACAACATATTTTACTCTTCCAGCACCCAAAGCAGTCGTAGTGGTGGCTAAATTTGAATTCCGGAAAAAATTGCGCAAGAACTATAATTTTCTGCCCGATTTTATGGTGTAGACGTCTGTTCAAGCACTTTAAAAGTGCTTGAACAGACGTCTACACCATAATAACCGAATTTGCTTTAAAAACTAGTAGTATACAATGAGGCTAATTTGAAGGGTATAGGTGGTATGTATGCCTACCAATTTAATCATTAATGATGAGAGTGGGTTGGTGTAATGGTTTCCATTGTGGTTCTTGATCTTGTTCATGTTTGACTACACCAGTTTGCTCTACACCATGTAGATATCTACTACCACCAACCGGTACATTTTTTTAATTATTGTTACTTCGTCATGCAAACTCTTAAACAATAATACCTATGAAATAATTTCAAGTTTCAAATGTGTAGATGGCAGAGAAGAATAGAATGACACAAGTTTTATTGTTCTAACAGGATATGTTGATCTGCTGATTAAGGAACTCTTATGTAATTTCTAGATTAATACCGGAGTGGCTGATATTGTAAAAACACTTGACATGCATCTGAAAAAATGTCAGTCATTTTGAGTAAAGACAGCTGGCCTCCGTTCTTCGTGTGAATATCACCATTGGACTGGTTAATGTGTTATTAAGTTCGTAATAAATCTTTTTCAATCGACATATTTACTTTAAAAAAAAAATAATGCAGTTTTCATAAATTCTAACATTTTGATAGTAAAAAACGGGGGAATTTGGTCATGGGGTGGGGAGAGGTGTTCCCATTACATGTGTAACCCCTCCCCTTGGAGGCTTCAGCTATTAATGTATTATAAGGGCAAATCTCATGAT